CACACCCCAACCAAGGCAATTCTCTCCATTGTAAACAGCTTTTGATTTTTACCCTTTCGTGCTTAGAATGCAATAGAATGGAATCTCCCTGGATAAAATGTCAAATCCAGAAAACCAATTAATCAAGCAGGGTGTAAACTCTGGATAGTATCTTCCAAAGAAGGGATCTGCAACTTTTTCTAGGCTGAAAGACACAGTTGACCTTTGACTGAAGTAAAACAAAAATTAAATTGTTTTACCTTTCATTTGCATACATAATCAAAATTTAATGTAGTAGCGATTCTCCTGTCCTGTATTTAATAATGAAGTCATTTTGCCACATTAAAAATGGCACTAACATCTTTTGGAAGACTCTTGAGAGCTGATCCTAAGAGGGTTGTACATAAAGTCTGGTGTGGCTTAACATTCTCTCCTTAGCTTTAGAAAAGGTATTCTTTACTGATGTGAATTACAAAGGAAAGTTTGCTCTCTCTTTTGTATACATTCCTAAACAGACTGAAATACATTAAACACTTGACTTGAATCAAATAGAACAAAGAAAAAATGCTCATTTTTTTTCCAAACTGGGTTCCAAGAACTCTTGAATTCCATGTGAACTCGACGGGTTCCATGATGGCTTAAGGCGTAGGGTGGGGGTCTCAAGTGCATGCTGAGCCCGCCCCCCCCAGATTTCACCCCAGCGTGGGGCTCATTTATCATACCAGCATTTCCTGTCACCAGTTTTCCAAGTGGTCCGTGAATGAGAACAGCTAGTCTTCCATCTTCTTTGCAGATGCACAAAATGCAACTTTTGGGCTGACCCTACACAATTCCAACAAACATTTCCCCAGGCGCTCAAGTTTAGTAATGGTCAGATGAAGTGGTTGACAGCAGGGAGATCTAGAAATCCATTGACCTGTAACATTTAGAACTGTGCTACCTGTCTGCCTCCAAAAGTTGGTGGGTGCTCCAACACTGGAGGTTTTAAAAGAGATTGAACAACATTTGTCTAATAGGGCTGGGGTGTCAAACTCAAGGCCCACAGGCCAGATACGGCCCTCAGGGTGCTTAGATGTGGCCAGTGGGACCACCCTGGAAACAATGAAGGACCAGCCCCAGAGGTGGTATTCAGCAGGTTCTGACCAGTTCTGGAAAACTGGTAGCAGAAATTTTGAGTGGTTTGGAGAACCGGCAAACACCACCTTTGACTGGCCCCGTCTCCGTCTATTCTTTGCCTCCCAAGTCCCAGATGATTGACTGGGTTTTCTTTTGTTGCCCTGCACAGGAGAACGGAGCTGGAAAGGTTAGTGGGGTGGGGAGGAAATGGGATTTTGCAGTATCCTTTCCCTGCCATACCCACCAAGCCATATCACGCCCACAAGACCTGCCCACAGAATCCCACCGCAGTGCCTCTATCAGTGAAAACGGAGCTCGGGAGGGCCACGTGAGTTCCGTTTTCACTAGCAGAGGGTTGCAAGAGGCTGTCCCAGCCGAAAAAGGAGATTGGGATTCCGTTTTCACTGGCAGAGTGCACAGGCCACCACAGGAGCCTCCGACACGAGTGATGTCAGCTGACCATGTCCACCCTGACCCTGAGGTCAAACACAACCCTGATGCGGTCCTCAATGAAATCGAGTTTGACACCCAATATAAGGTTTCCTGCTTGATCAGGGGGTCTGATAGATATCCAAAGTCCTTCTAACTCTGATAACTAACTAGTTAACCATATTGTGTGTTGATTATGGCTTCAACATGTTGAATGAAAGCAATCTTTATGGTTCATATAATAAACCACAGTTAAAACTAACTTAGCCTAATGTGAAATTAGTTTCGGTGGCTAACCTCAGCATGACCATCCTTGAATTAAATAATTACACTCAAAATGCACCGGAGTATGAATTATAGTTCACGAAGGAGCAAAACTACCCCTTGAATGAATGTATTTGTTATTCAGCTCATCTGTGCAAGATATGGGGTGATTTTTTGGGGAGTGCAAGTTTAATAGGTAATAAATATCAGTACCTAAACCTCTTTATACCTGTCATTTTCTTTGGCTTCGGTGTTTGGGATTTCCACCTCACTTGGCCATGCAATCAGATGTCTATCAATTCCACCCCAACTCAGCTAACAAAAGCTGAGGGTCATTCCATCTGTTCACTTTTGGATGGCCATTAAGATCCTTTGGTTCTGCAAACATTACTTCTTCCTGAAAAGAGCAAAATTCTTAAAGCTTGTTATCTAATACACATGAAATTCTATCGCCATCTTGAGGTAAATATTCATAATGGACATCACATCCAGATAGAGTAACTTTTTTTAAAAAAAATATTTTTTTTTTATTTTTTAATAACAAAATAAACATAAACATACATAACAAAATAAACATAAACATACCACAAAAAACATAAAAAGATCCTTCTTCATAAATTTACATACAGTGCATCGATTGGTTTACCACTTTTTTTGTGCATCCATTTCCTAGTCACCAGTATAACATCCAGATAGAGTAACTTTTATGGAAGTTCTTACGTCCATAACTGATTATCTTTTGGAGGTAAATTATTTTCTTCCAGCTGATTAATATATGGAATTTATGTATAATAAATATAACATATAATTTATGAGGATGATTAGAAATTTTCTGAAAATGAGAACAATAAACCTGTGGAACGGCTTGCCTTAAGAAGCTCAGCTCCAACACTGGAGGTTTTCAAGAAGAGATTGGATTTGTCCAGAATGATAGAGAATCTCCTGCCTGAACAGGGTGTTGGTCTAGAAGACCTCCAAGGTCCCTTCCAACTCTGTTATTCTGTTTCCCCCTGAAGGAGCAATTAAGCCTGCTTAGCTTCCTAGCCCAAAGGCCAGCCAGATGTTTCTTGCATGATTTCTCCAAATTATAGCTTGTTCTGATTTCTCACTTTCTTCTAAGTTCCTCAATTGCCCCATAACTGTTATTCCCCCAAGCCAGGGTTTCTTCAACCTTTTTCTCCCAGGACCCCTTCCCATTTTAAAAAGGGTTTAGATAGAATTAGATTCCAAGGACACCAGGTAGCAACATCTCATTGAGCTAGAAAAGGTACAAAGAAGACACTGAAATAATGAAGGAACTAAGAGGGATAGACTATAGTTTCTAGGGCTTTTTGAGGCTGAAGTGAAAGTAGACATTGAAAAATCTGAAGAGAGAATTTTTTTGTCCCTCTCTCACATATTTCAACATGGAGCCAGCCCTTTGGGAGCAATGACAGGAAAGGGTTGATGTCCACTCTTGAGAGATGCCTTGTTGGACCCCAACCCTTACTACATACACATGATATTGTCAGGGGTGGGATTCTACCGGTTCGGCCTGGTTCAGACAAACTGGTAGCTCCGAAGATCAGCTGTTGGGCCCACCTGCCCGGGCTCCAGCCTGTGTTTTATTTCCGGGTTTTCCAGCTCAGCTGCTTTGGATGCCACAGCAGATCGCCGCATGTCAGCTGTTTTACATGCAGGGCTTGCAGCAAAAGGTGAGTTGAAAATGCTGCGTGCACACTCACCAAACCGATTGTTACACCAGTTGAATCCCACCCCCGGATATTGTGATGCAATTACAAAGGCAAGCTTGTATCCTGACGTCATATGTTTTGTCAATCTGATGCCTATGGGGGTCTATGTTTGCAATATAGGTAGTCCTCAACTTATGGCCACAATAAAGCCCAACATTTCTGTTGCTAAGTAGAAACTGTTGTTAAGTTAGTTTTGCCCCCATTTTACCATCTTTCTTGCCACAGATGTTTAGTGAATCGCTGCGGCTGTTAAGTTAATAATACGGTCGTTAAGGGGATCCAGCTTCCCCATTGACTTTGCTTGTTGGGAGGTCACAAAAGGGGATAACATCAACTGGGGATGCAGTCGACGGTTGTAAGTACGAACCATAGTGGCCAAGAATCTGAATTTTGATCACATGACTCTGGGGATGCTATCGTGGTGGTAAGGGTGAAAAGTGGTCATAAGTCACTTTTTTTCCAGTGCTGTTGTAACTTTGAATGGTCAGTAAATGAATTGCTATATGTCAAGGACTGCCTGTAACACACGTCTTTGCAGATTTTATACATGGGCTGAATGTTCACATAGTAGTTCTGGTTTTACTCAGACATCCAAGGATTTTAGAAAACGGCTAAATTAAACCAAACTGGGCACAGAAACTTTTATTAAACAAGAACTGATAATACTTTGCATTTCTATGCCTGCATAACAACGGCCCAGCAATTTTCCCCTCCAAACAGCTCTAATGTTCTCATAAAACACAGACGTAGCATCAGCTTTAACAATACTTTTCATGTCAAATAAGTAAATATTTAAATAAAATATTTAAATGAAAGGCTATTGCACCATTATCCTAAACAAATCAATAGCATAAACTAACCTCATTTGATCTGATCTCTGTGAGATACTCACATTTAAAAAGAACTAAGCAAGAATGTTTTTATACAAGACTTCGGCTTTAATATTTAACTAACTGTTGGGAGTACTTAATTAGAAAAATGGCTCCACAAAAATGAGGACAAGGTAGGTTCAGATTCAGTTCTTATGATGTCCCATGTCCATGTATTTGCATCTAAGTTTGGTTTGATTTGATTATGGTCACATATTGATAAAAATCAAGCTTTCCCTTCAGTTCAACGGGAACTTGTAATGCGACTCTACAATAACATCTAAACCTGACCTGGAGATGAATTCGCCATAAAAAGCAACGGGGGAACATCGCCAGGGAAGAATAAACTGGTATCAGATCTTAACTCCAACTCTGGTTAACTAAAACTCTACAGCTGGAAACAATGGAAAGAATTCCACATATTTAACTATGTAAAGATTCCCCTCTGTATACAGCACTATCAAAACAAGACCAAAAGACAAAACGGCAAGCAAAATTTAGCCCTTGAATAATCATATCAGAAAACATCACAGATTTCTATCTGCGTTTTTATGCTCTTCTAGAATTGAAGTCACTGCTTTGCAAGCAGAAAGAAGAAGGAACAGCAATGCTACTTGTCCATCAAATTGAAGATCATCTCACAAGTAATTCCTGCTTTACTGCCATTCAGAGCAGTTTCTTTCCTCTCCTGTGCTTTGTGAGAAACACTGTACGGGGTGCAGACTGGAGAGTCCACACAAACAGCTTCTTGAAGAGAAAAAATAGTCAAGGTGAATATGGACATTTGCTAAGAAGGTTCCACACTCATTTGTACTACTTAGGTGACCCTGATGACACAGATAAATCTCCAAGCGGCTTCAACAACTCTCTAAAAGAATGCAAATGACCAGCTATGTGCAAGGAGTGTAAATCCTTCCATTCCCCATTATCCAGTTGGAACTGAAGATGCCTCTTGGATGGGAAGCGAAACGTCTTCAAAGAAAAACAAGAAAAGCCACTTGCCTCCTGGGAAAAAGAGGGATTTTTCCCGGGAAGGACTCAAAATATGGATACAAATGCCAAATCCAGCCCAAACATCTGGCTGATTGTGCATCCAGTATCAGTAATAGAGCTTGAAATGAAGAAATGAAAAATCAGAAAGTCCAGTTGCCTCTTGAAAAAGCACCTTTGGGACAACCACGACCTGGATGAATCTCCATAGACAAGCCCCTTTCTATAAGCTCTTATTTTACGATCCTATAATCCCTCAAATTCAGGCGACTGGATGGAGATGAGCATTTACTGGCCGGATGCCCTTCCTGATGCCACGTGGAATTAGCAGCAGATATTTTCTCTTTGTGTCCTGATAGAGAAATATTCGTTACTGCTTAGAATTGAATTCTCAACCTTCCAACTGGGAGACGACTGTCTCCATCATTAGGCCATCACGCTGCTCAAAACAAACCCCTTTCTATGTCCTATGTTATTCAGGACCCCCCCCAAATTCTCCAACTACAAGTATTCCTTGAATTGTGACCAGTTGCTTTCAAACTTGAAGTTAAAATGGATCCCAAAAGCTACTTACAACCAGGGCCTGGCAGTTGTGCCCCTTACTCACAATCACATGACTATACTGGGAGTGCTCAGCAACAGGGCCACATTTATGGCTCTTCGAAGCAGCCATGTCACTGCGATTTATGATGTTTTTGCTGGAAACTGGCATTTTACTTCCACTTTCCAGCAAAATTTGGCCCACAGCCAAGAATGGGTTCACTTAATAACCATGGTGTTTCCTCTACAACTGTTGCCAAAAAAAAGGGGAGGTGTCAGTCACATGAAGTTCCACTTTACAACTGTCACAATGTATGTTATAATTTCCAAGCACAATTATGTATCCGTGGTAGTAAGTCAAAGACTTCCTGTATGTTTTTTGGGGGGACAGCTATAGATGAAAGGATGTGGCCAGGAGCCCAGAATGCATGGGAAAAAAACAATTAAAAATGTCAACATGATGATAAGGGTCTCTGCGCTCATTATGTAGGCAGACAGAATACTTTCACACATGACTTCTGAAACTGGAAATACTCTGCATGCTTCAAACTGATTAATGATTATCTTTTCCTTACCAACCTTGGCCCTAATTATACCAATAAAACTGTCATTGGGGAAGGTGGCAATGAATATTTCTGAATATTATGGGGAAGCAGAGAAGGCAAGTTCACCTGTCTCTGTAATGACTGAAAGGAAGATTAAAAAGGGTGTTTCTAATGGGTTGCAGCTTATTGTGTGCACAAGCAAAACTAATATGGGCTAAAACATGGTAATTTGGCCAGAAGAAAAGTTTAGAAATATGTCCATCATACACAACAACAATTGTTGATAAGAAAGACTAAGTCTGGATAATAGATATTGCAGTACCCAGAGACGCAGAAGAGAGAAAAAAACCGGAGAAGAACACAAAATTCAAAGACCTCAGAACAGAAGAACAACTGTGGCAAATCCCAAAACATCTGGAGCACCACTTGAGCATCATTGGCATTGACAAAATCACCATCAGTCAATTGAAAAAGGTGACTTTCCTTGGAACAGCTTACATCCTGTGGCAACATCTGTAACACTGTCAAGCAACTGTCTATGGAGGTTCTTAATCATCCAGGCCTTGGTTATCCCAAAGATACTTTTTCAAGAAGCAAGTGGACTTTTTTTTGTTTTTATTTATTTATTTTATTTATTTGTCAATTGTTTACAAGATAATAAGTAAAAGTGTATACATAATTATGAATACATGAAATGAGTACATATAAGAAAAAATAAAAGAAAAATAAAAGAAACAATAGGACAGGGACGGTAGGCACGTTGGTGCGCTTATGCACGCCCCCTACAGACCTCTTAGGAAAGGGATGAGGTCAATAGTAGACAGTCTAAGGTTAAAGTTTTTGGGGTTTGGGGAAGAAACTACAGAGTCGGGTAGAGTATTCCAGACATTGACCACTCTATTGCTGAAGTCGTATTTCCTGCAATCAAGTTTGGTGCGGTTAACCTTGAATTTGTATCTGTTGTGTGCTCTTGTGTTGTTATGGTTGAAGCTGAAGTATTCATTGACAGGTAGGACATTGCAATGTATGATTTTATATACCATGCTTAAATCAGACCGAAGACGGCGTAATTCAAGGTTTTCTAGTTCTAGAATTTCAAGTCTGGTGGCATAAGGTATTCTACAACGAGTAGAGGAGTGGAGAACTCTTGTGAAATATTTCTGGACTTTCTCAATTGTGCTAATATCAGATACGTAATGTGGGTTCCAGACTGATGAGCTGTATTCGAGTATTGGTCTAGCAAATGTTTTGTATGCTCTAGTTAGTAGTGTATACCAGAGAAAAAGCTACGTAAGATTAGGTTAACAACTCTTAATGCCTTTTTGGCTATGTAGTTGCAGTGGGCACTAGCACTTAGATCATTAGAGGTGAGTATTCCAAGGTCCTTTACAGAGCTTGGATCATCAACAAGATCTTGACTATTCAGCTTGTATTTTATTTTCGGATTTTTTTTGCCAATATGTAAGACAGAGCATTTATTTGTTGAGATTTGAAGTTGCCATTTGTTTGACCATTCTTTGAAGGTGTTTCGCTTCTCATCCAAGAAGCTTCTTCAGCTCTGATGGTGCAGCTCTGATGGTGCAGAATGGAAGGATTTATACTCCTTGCAGACAGCTGGTCATCTGCATTCTTTTAGAGAATCATTGAGGCCACATGGAGGTTTATCTGTGTCATCAGGGTCACCTGAGTGGTGCAAATGGGTGTGGTGCCTTCTTGGAACTGTTGAAAGGACTGTGCTGTACACAGGAGATAGATGATGTGGTCTCAACGACTCGCTAAAAGGGATGCAAATGACCAGCTGTCTGCAAGGAGTATAAATCCTTCCATTCCTCACCATCCAGTCAGAGCTGAAGAAGCTTCTTGGATGAGAAGCAAAACGTCTTCAAAGAAAAACAAGAAAGGCCACTTGCCTCCTGGGAAAAAGCGGGTTTTTTTCCTGGGAAGGACTCAAAATATGGATAAAAATGACAAATCCAGTCCAAACATCTGGCTGATTGTGTATCCAGTAACAGTAATAAAGCCAGTAACAGAGACCAAGAAACTGTAATTTTTAGTCCCCCTCTTAGGCATGAAAACTAGTTGGGTGACTTTGGGCTAATCACTCTCTTCCAGTCCAACCCACCTTGTAGGGTTGTTGTTGTAGAGAAAATGGGAGGAGGAAGGAGTATTAAGTATATCCACCACCTTGAGTTATTTATAAAGTAATAAAGGCAGGATAAAAATCTAATTTAAAAAAAAAACAGACCAAAATGGAAACTGTTTGTATTAAAAGGAAAGTAATTCTTTAAAATGGACAGCTGATCAACATGGGAAACCAAAATGCATACAGGAAGAGGTCAAAAGGTCCACCTGCAAATTACTTTAATTCCCAATGGAAGAGAGACTTTAATTTCTGCAATTCTCCATGTAGCATGGCCAATGTTGAGAATTCAAGTCTGTGGCTCTGGAGGACACCAGACTTGGTGATGGCTGCCCTAGGATTGGTGAAACCTGTATCCACCAGGGATGAGGTTTCTCAGGGCGGGGACAAGTGACGGTCTCAGCATACAGGAACATTATTTTAGTTAAAAGCTAGAGTGTCTTTTCTTCTTCTTCTTCACATTTATTTTAACATGCAGATGTATTGATGGCTTATCCATTATTGCAATTTTCAAAATGTGATTATATCTGTGCTGGAATTTACTTATTAGAAAAAGGTAAGCTAATCAGTGCCTTCTTTTTTTTTAATGTGCAGATTCTAAACCTGGTCAGGGGAAAAAAACACCCCTTCCTTGCTAAAAAAAAGAGCTCTTCTTTTTGCTGTGTTTCATTGTGATCATCTCATTTGTTACCTTTTTCTTTGGCTACAGGTTGACTACTCTCTTCTCTTTTCTTCCTCTTGCTTGCTTTGCAGGATGGAGAGCTTTCAGCAGCTCTTGTCTCTCTGCACTTTTCAGTGTGCTTGAGCATGTTATTCTATGCAGAAAGAAAAAAAAGAAAGAGAATTTATTCAACCAGTTAAAAGTATGAATGCACAGAGTTTTAGGAAAGGGAGAAATCTTTAAGTGCCATTTCTTAGCCAGCATAACCATGTCAGCAAAGCAGAATGGAATCAGAATCTCAGGGAGCAGGATAGGGTTGATACACAGGTGCTTATGACCAGCTGTTTAGCATTGAAAATTAAGACAGACCCACGAAAAGGTATTTATGACCTAATTTCGAAGTTATCGCCAATGTAGTGCCTTATAGTGTGGTGACCAAAACTAGATGCAGTCGTCAACTGAAAAGCATATAGCAAATGAACTTAGAAGCACATTCCACAAAGAGAAAAAGGGAATGTATTTTCATATGTGGTGGACGTGTCCCAAGTATGAAAGTACTGGCTCAAAATTCAAGCATGGTTAGAGGAGTTAACAAAACAAAAGATCAAGTTCAAACCAAAAATCTTTCTGCTAGGTATGTTAGCGCTGACATGGGATAAGAAACACCAACACCTAACATTACATATTATAACCACTGCAAGAATTTCTCTTGCTAAAAACTGGAAAGTGACCACGACACCCACAGATCTAGCAGTAATTAATAAGATACATCAATGCACAGAAATGATCAGACTAACTATGCTATTAAAAAACAGGGAAGAAGAATATTTTATGATATGGAACATATGGTACAAATGGTTAAAAAAAAGGAGTAAAGATGTTTTGAAAATGACTAAAGAAATTTCAAAGAAGAATATGATATAGGACATGTGTATATATGTAAAGTAATGTAAATAAATAAGTATTGTACTTTAACAGTAGTATAGTAAGGAACTAGTAAATACTAGTAAACCTACAGATATACCTATGGTAAATGAACTTAATTGTTATTAAAGGACATGTACACTGCTATGACATCTCTGTAAAATGTGAGAACTTGTTTATCTTTTTTAAATTTTTGAAACTTTGAATAAATAAATTTATTTTTAAAAAAGAAAAAAAAAGAAGCACATTCCAACCTTATCTTTAAAAAGATTGTAACTAAGCTACTGAAGCTTTAGCCCAGGAAGAACTTTAACTGGAGAACGTGATGGATGACACCTAGCCCATGTAGGCGCTTAATTGGAGAATCTGATTTATGGCACACCCAGAGGGGAGGGGGGAAGCAGGGTCACAGGTGACTGTAATTACGTATGCCAGAATCAACTTCATACAAGTCATGCCAGTATGTCGCTCCTAATGAATTCTTTGAAGTTCGGCTCAAGGCTCATGTTTTAATTAGGGCGATTGCTGGAATCTTGACAGCAGTATTCTAGGTGTGGTCTTACTAAGGCTTTATAGAGAGGCTCACGTGCTCTTGACGTTATAGTCATTAAAAACTAATTACATGTCTCAGAATTCCTACATAATACAGGTAGTCCTCAGTCGACCACAGTTAAGACCGAAATTCCTGTTGCTAAGTGAACAACTTAGTTTGTTAAGTGAACTTAGTTTGTTAAGTGAGTTTTGCCCCATTTTAAAACTTTCCTTGCTACAGTTGTTAAGTGAATCACTGCAGTTGGTAAATTAGTAACATGTTTATTAAGTGAACCCAGTTTATCTATTGACTTCGCTTGTCAGAATGTCGCAAAAGGGGTCACATAACCCCGAGACACTGCAACCGTAATAAATACGAGTCAGTTGCCAAACATCTGAGTTCTGGTCATGTGACCCTGGGGATGCTGCCATGTTCATAAGTGGGAAAAAGGATCGTAAGGCATCTTTTTTCAGCGATGTTGTGACTTTGAATGGTCACTAAATGAACTGTTGTAAGTCGAGGACTACCTGTACAGGGTTTCTGAAATTATATTTGGGTTCAGTCTATCATAATCGCAAAGAATTTATCACGAAGCAAAAGTTTTGAAAAAAAATATCCAGTGATCATTAACCAGCATGGGAATCAGAACTGAACACATGTAGATGGCAGCTTAAATCTGGGACTATAAAAATCTGTATTTGCGCGGAATTCGCTCAGTGCAAATATTGTTCTCCAGCTGTTGGTACATATGGTTGTAGACCCCTTCAAAAAGGCCAGCAAGTCACCTTACCCAACGTGAATAGCCCTTGCTGCATTTGGGACATGCATAGATCTTTGGCTCAAAGGTGGAGTCGTGGTGTCTCTTGAAGTGACTGGTTAAGAGCTGTTTCTGCTGGAAGCCCTTGTTGCAGGAGAGGCAAACAAAGGGCTTCTCACCGGTGTGTGTCTGCTTGTGCACAATCATGCAGCGTTCCTGGGAGAAAGAAGACGTCATCAAAACAAAGCCATGAGTTTTGCTAACAAGCTGCATAGATGCAGAATTATCCCTCAGATGCTAAACAGTGACATGATCGATCCCTACTGTTTACAACCATTTCCAAGGCCTCTCCACTGATTTTTTCAAAGCTGCCGGCCCAGTTATCTATGGAGATTCTCAGTCATCCACGTAACAGATAATGAAGATTCTCCACTCCTTAACTCGTAGCAGAATACCTTATGCCACCAGACTTGAAATTTTAGACCTAGACAACCTAGAACTATGCCGCCTTCGGTCCGATCTAAGTATAGTACATAAAATTATCTACTGCAATGTCCTTCCTGGCAATGAATACTTCAGCTTCAACCATAACAATACAAGAGCACACAATAGATACAAACTCAAGGTAAACCGCACCAAACTTGATTGCAGGAAATACGACTTTAGCAACAGAGTGGTCAATGTCTGGAATACTTTACCTGACTCTGTGGTTTCTTCCCCAAACCCCCAAAACCTTTAACCTTAGACTGTCTACTATTGACCTCACCCCTTTCCTAAGAGGTCTGTAGGGGGGCGTGCATAAGCGCACCAACGTGCCTACCGTCCCTGTCCTATTGTTTCTTTTTTGTTTGTATCCATTTCATGTATTCATAACCGTGCTTATACTTATACCTGTTAACTAATACTTGCTTGACAAATCAAATCAAATCAAATCAAATCAAATCAACTCAACTCAACTCAAATCAATCAATCAATCAATCAATCAAATAAATAAATAAATAAATAAATAAATAAATAAATGGTTGTCCCAAAGGTGCTTTTCAAAAGGCAACTGGACTTTTGTTTTTATTTTTTCTTTGAAGTTGTTTCACTTCTCATCTAAGAAGCTTCTTCAGTTCTGAAGTGTATTTCAGAACTAAGAAGCTTCTTGGATGAGAAGCAAAATGTCTTCAAGGAAAAAAAAACAAAAACACAACATTAAAACAGCATTCTGCACAAACAGAAAAATATCCACCATCCTAAGAAACCCCAAAGACAAAATCGAATTAGAAAACCAAGGAGTATACGAAATCCCCTGCACTGCCTGCCC